TAATGATGTAAGCACTCTACTAAACAGTAAAATTGAGTAAATACTAAATAACAAATATACAATCTGGAATAAGTGCAGAAAATTCAGAATCCCCCGTTACCTGTCGGATGATTGGTGGACAGGTGTCGCGTGTAGAACAACACTTAGAAGGCCAAGAATGGTCTGTGTCTTTCCCGTTCCCGGCGGTCCCTGTACAGATAATAAGACCCAACACCGCATGAACCCAGTGAATGACTGATCAACAAGGGTAGGAAAACCATTATTATTTAACGCCCGGGCCACTCTTCCCGAGCGTATTAGGGTAGGAATGCTGGGAAACCATTATTTAACCGCCAATTCACACGAACCTAAGCAGTGCTCTCACTCGTATATGAGGTAAGAGCTTTTCGACTCAGGCCTGGGCTGGTAGAGAAAGCCGCAAGCCACTTTCAAAAGGCGCAATTGCAGACTCGCGAGCCTTGGAAGGTGTAGCTTCGTCGACTTAAGCTCGTGTGAACTGGTGGTTGTAAACCGGACCACTCTTCCCTAGCAGTTTAGGGTAGCAATACTAGGAAACCATTATTAAAGCCAGCCACTCTTGCTGAGCGTATTATTAAGGTAGGAGCTTCATTTAAAATCACCAATCTTACCAAACGTAGTAGGGTAGAAAAACATGACAAGGCACCACCCTTCCTGAGCATATTAGGGTAGAAAAAGTTTAAAAACACCACTCTTCCCAAGTGTATTAGGGGTGAAACAGCACCCCTCCCGAGCGTTTTAGCCTACTAGGGTAGAAAAAGCTGTAAAACACCCCTCTTCCCAAGCGTATTAGGGGTGAAAAACTACCCCTCCCGAGCGTATTAGGGTAGAAAACTCTTTAAAAACACCACCCTTCCTGGGCATGTTAGGGTAGGAAACAATGAAGGCCCTACGCTTCTCGACGGTATCAAGGTGCTACTGTCTTCCCCCAAATAGAACGTATGGTCGTCTTCGCTGCATCCGGACTGAAATGTGAGCCGAATACGGGCATAATGATCGTCCATTCTATTCGGCCAAAGCCGGTAGGAAACCATCGGAGGACAACTCTCCCCAAGAGTGTTAGCATGATCAAAACGTTTGCGATACCCCCCTCTCCCAAGTGTTGTTATAAGAGCAGGAATACTAGGAAACCATTAAAGCACCACTCTTCCCAAGCTCGTTAGTCTGGGCATCGATTAAAGCACCCCTCTTCCCGGGTCGTATAAGGGTCAAAAGTCTCGAAACCATTCCATTCTGCCGAATCTATTGCGTGCTCATCCCTGATGTCCCAAACTCTTGTGTGGCTGGCGGCAGGTTTAGGTGGCTCAGTTCCTACCAGGGATGGACCTGCAAAGCGGTTTGGCCCTATAACTGACCCCCCTGAAACCTGGGCCCCCCCATTCCCTGGTAGGAACTGACCCCACCTAAACCTGCCTACCAGCCCAGAGGGGTTTGCCTTTAACTGACCCCCCTTAAACATACCCCCCATCCCCTGGTACGAACTCACCCCACGTAAACCAGCACACCACCACCCTGGGTGGATCCCCACCCGGACCTACTGCCACCAGCCTGCAGAGAGGTCTGGCCTTAACTGACTCCAGCTAAACCTTCCCCCTCCCTGGTAGGAACTGACCCAGCGACTGGTAGGAACTGACCCAGCGACGCCTGCCACCAGGCTGGAGGCAGGATTGACTGAGGTCAAGTCAGGCCAAGCCTCTCTGCAGTCCCATCGTATGCAACCACAGGATGAAAGATCCATGAGCCTACTGGAGAATGGGTGAATTAATTTGTTAAAATAGCTCTGCAAGCCTGCCTGTTCAGGGAGCAAGATTGAATATAGAGATGATTGTGGGGTGGGGGGTGTTGCAGGCAGGCAAGTTTTCTTACTTTTCTTTCTGTTCTCTCTTTTTCTTTCCTTTCTCACTTTCTTTCTTTTCGTACTGGTTTAGGACACGCGGTTATCAGAGGGCTGTGTCGTTTTTGCACAACCCCCCCCCCCGTTAATC